TAAAGTTGTCGTTATGCTGAGTTCTATTTATTTTAAAAGTTTGGGGAATTTTGAAGAATTGAATATTTTCGTTGTATTGCCAAGGCCGTAATCTGATTGGCTAATTAACATGTGATATTGTGCAACCGAAATGTCTAGAAATATCTGATCGACGTTTTTATACCATAAAAGGTGTGATCGACGCTACCCATATTTGGTAAATCGGCAAACTGTAATAATCTTATCTATTGAATGTCGATATATTTCTAATTAAGGTCGGTATGACTGAAATTCGAGATTTACATGCTTTTCCTTCCATTCTATGCATTAATGCTTGCTGTGTAACTTTATGGGCTATGAACATCTATATACGGGGTGCCATTACTTCACACCTTAAACATGGATCTTTTTCCGGAAATTCTTGAAGAAATATTCCAATACCTTAATTGCGACAAAGCGTCACTTCATTCTTGTATTCTTGTTAATCGAGGATGGTGCAAAGTAGCTGTACCCATATTATGGAAACAACCTTTTCTTCTTTTAGAAAATAATGGACATGACAAGCTCATCGATATTTATGCATCTTTTCTCACAGATGAAGCTCATGCAGTACTTCAATCCCAAGGCATAAACTGGTCACCCAGTCCTTTTCCTAAACATGATCAAGAAAAAACTTTTATTTATCCCTCCTTCTTACGCCATTTCAAATATGATAACTTATGTTTATGTTTAGATTCATGGTATAAAAAACATATACTAAATATTCAAGATGATAAATTAGATAAAACAAAGAAAACATGGGCTCTATATTCTATTTCAGCCTTTAACGATTATACATGGTTCATTCCTCTTTATATTGAAATTTTTAAAGTTTTTTTAAATTGTGGTGCAAGATTTGAATGTCTCGATCTTTATTCTGAACATTATTGTCAACTTGTCGATCATAGAATTTTGTTTGAATTACCTGGAATTGAAAATTGTTTAGCAAATCTTAAAGTTCTTTCTCCTGCAACAATGGAAAGTTTTACTTCAATAGATTATTATTCTAAATTATGTCGAAATATCAAATCTTTAAAAATTGAATCATTACGTGTTGGAGAATCTGCACTATCTGGTCTAATTAAAGCCCAAGTTGCTCTTGAACATATTTATATTGGGAACTATCTTCATCCTTATCACTTAAGTAGCTATACGTTAAATTCTTTTGTATATTCTGGATTAAACAATGATTTATCTTTAGCATTGTTAACACAAGCTAGTTCCCTTAAATCTCTTGAAATTAGAAATTTAGTTGTTAATGAAGTTCCTTGTTATAAACAAATAACTTGGAATAATCTAGATTCTTTGACAATATCCAACGACAATAACTATAATTTAATGAAAATGCCATTTGGTACAAAAAATTTTCCAAAATTACAAAAATTATATATAAAGCAAAATACTTTTCCTACTGATCTTATTGATTTTATTCGAAATACAAATTTTTCTTTAAAAGAAATTCATTTAATATTAAGATTTCAATCGGATGACATTTCAAATGTTATTCAATGTATTTCAAAGTTCTGTACAAATCTTGTTCATTTTGAGTCCACTGTTGATTTTAATGCTATTCCTAGCAGTGCAATTGCCTGAAAGTGCAATATAATTGTATGGGGAGAGAATTTTATGTTTTGTAAAAATGTGGTTTAGCCGGTTGGTTAAAAGTTTAGTATATAGTTTTTTGATGTGTTCTAGTAGGCTAATAGGTC